ATTGTACCAACAGACTGAAAGGGTATTTTGGATTTCATTTTTATTGTATACAGCATCAAACGTTTTTAATTACTTAATTTGATCAAAATTAATGTAAAACTGAAAATCTAACCCTAAATTTTGTAACGGGACACGTTTTGACAATTTTTTTTCTTTTTATGGATAAATATAATATAATTAAATAATGTTTATATATATTCCAATTATTTAAGTTTCCACAACTGGACAAAAACGTGTGTATTATATGTATAGAAAATCAATCCATCCATTCATACCTAAGACGCTACCCGTCGTCGTCGTCGTCGTTCGTCTAATCGTTGTAGCTGCCACGCGGGCGGCTTGGGTTCGATTACCGATCGATCCAGAATTATTTTATATACAAGGTGTAGCATCTAAGACCCCTCGTATCATTACTTTACCATAAAAGATATCGAAAAAGTCTTAGACCGAAATTGTACACAGATACTGTCGCTATGTTTCTAAAATATTCTTGATCCCCAGGGGCGTATTGTATTCCAGTGGCGTGTCAAACTTACGTTTTTTTTTAATGGAATACCACATACTTTATTGTAGATTTGGAAAGGACTTCATTTTTTATGTAACATGTTTATTCTTTGTTGTTGTTGTTTGTGTCAGTGGAAATTTTGCATTTTCGGCTATCTAGAGCTACAATTTGTTTAGGGTACCTACATTTGAAATTTAATTTTTTCGATAAGTACTGAAGTGATCCTGCTGGGTAGATAGTGATTAATTCCGTATTCGAAATGTAAACCAGTGTTTCTAAGGAAAACAATATCGGCGTTGCCGATTTCGAAGTCATAAATTCTATCAATGCATATACTTTTTGGTTGTCAAACAAAAACATTAACAGAAATAAATACTTACACCGAGCGAAGCCAATTGCTTAATATAGAGTCGAAAGGAATAGTTAGTTTTTAACTTGTAAAGGAAGCGTTCGGGTGGCTCGTTATGGATATCCATTATGAGCGTTACTAAAAATATACATTAAGTGCGAACTCACTATCGGAATAATGCACTACAAGGTAAAATTCCTTTCAATTAAAATTAATTCATTGAATTAGAGACATAGTATTTGCAAGTACCCTTTATAATCATAATATAAATGTTCGCAGTGGATCGTAATGCGGCGACAGACACAATTAATCTAGACGTTGCAATGTTACGTTGCACTTTATTGGGATTAATTAAAATTAAGCCGTTCGGAATTATGGTCCCGGCTGTCAATTATCGGTCATTGAATTAAGTAGCTCACGTAATTTATATTAAATTTCACTGGAGGGATTAGAGATCTCCTTTTGCTTGCTTTTTTTATTATTTATTCATTCATAAAGATCTTTTAATTAATTTTGAACTGTTGTAAAGATTAACTACAGGTGACACCCGGAAAGAGCCTCGACTTTGGTTCTGTAAATCACAGAACATTTTACTGCAACTGTTACTGTGTCCAAAAATGGACCTTCAAATTTTGGTTCTGTAAAATGCAGGACATTGCATCCCCTAATACCAGTTCCATGTTCCCGTAAAGTTTCGGTCTCGAGTACTGTCATTTATCGCTTGTACGTAAGTAGACCGAAGATTAAGGGCTCAGTAAACGAAAATTAGTGAGCGAACCCTCACTCCATACCGCACGAGAAACATAACAAGGCACACAAAGCGTCGGGTTAGTTTATCGAAGTGGTGCAAGTAGTGTAGACTCTACCTAAATAAGTGACAGAAAACTCCGAACCATTGCCTGCGTTCAGCAGCCTGAAGCGCTTCAAGTGTACGCTTAGCGATCACAAGTAGCGCTCCTGATTTAGCTTTCTATAAAATGGTAGTAATTTAATAAAGGTAAATTAAATTTTAATAAAACCACAGAAAGCTTCGGGGTTGTGGTGTGCACGGGTAACTACCTTTGAGCTTTGAGTGAAATTTAATTAGAAAGATAGTGAAATAATGAAAAAACATATTTCGCGCAGTTTTGACACATTTGACGTGCAACGAAAAACTTTACGAACCTTTTGTGAAAAATTGAATTTATAAATGAAATTCTCCACGTCTTTTATATATAGCAAACAGGATTTAAAGCTTGCTGTCATCAACCCAAGTTGGAAAGTGGGCAAGCTATAACGAATAAATATTGATTTTGTATTTATTACTTTTTACAGCGCACATAAACGAATTAACAGTGAGACGAAATGATCTGATAGTGTTTTTGAAAAATATGCAAATTGACTTAAGGTAATAGGAAACGTGACAGCGAAGTACAGAATTTTTGCGATGAATAAATACGCAAAATGTAAAACTTGTTTACTTCGCACACAATAATCCTATCAAATGGCTGTATGGCTTGTCCCTTAGCAAATAAACACAGAGTAGTTATTTGTTTCATTGTTTTACGAAAAATACGTATTTTCGGGACAAGGAATGGTGTGGCTAGCAGAGTTATCCAGCAACCTTCCGAGTTTTAGATGCACAAGCGTAATTGAATGACGAAGTTGCAGGCGTTCTCCTCAAGCAATTCAAGTCGAGAAAGTGTTTTCAATTGCACATTTTCAGCTAAATGTCGACAGCCTTATTTCCCGTCGTCTACTTCTTTCTCTCATACACTCCTTCCCTTCATTCTTTTTGCTGCGATGTACCGGGTTACCTATTATAAATGATTCATCGGGTTTCATAATGCTATATTTGTTCAAATATTGCACTTTAAACAATCATTGATACATCAAAAGAAACGGAAACTACAACTTTCCTCCCCAAATTACAATTGTTCGATATGTGCCGCATTTGTCATACGACACACATCGAACCAGTAATGTAGTTCAGACCACACATTCTGTCACATGTCCATGTCTGTTAACACAGCAGAACCGATGCGTCTCTTAAGTTCGTCAAGTGTTCATGGCAGTGGTGATCCTTAATATACTCTCTAAGGTAGGTTTTACAAGGCGTTAGATCGGGAGACAGAGCTGAGTCATTTGCAGGGGTATGCCCGATCCAGCGATGTGGAAGTTCCTCATTCAGTGACTTCTTTTGGGGATGCAAAAAATGGTGACAAAACTAATGCTTCAAACCCGAGCATTCTACGATGATTCCTTTGAGAGTTATACTCAAAAAACCTTTGCAGCCTGCCGACCAACCAACCGAACAGCCAAAGTCAATATATAAGCGCTACTTTTTTTCAAAAACGCGCTAGAAAAGAGCACACGAAAAGGATGCAAACGCGATGCGAATTTCGCTGGGCTTTGAGCACTTCTTAAAAGATCGGTAAACAATTTTCGCATGCTTGACGGAAAATGCGTCAAGATCTCAGATGGAAAATACGTCCTGTTCTGTGTTAAGAAAAAGAAACACAAAACAATAGAAGGAATCCAAAACAAACCAGTTTTTAATTATGGACAAATAAATAATTGACCGGAATTAATAATCGTTTAAGATATAACATCCAAATTACAGTGAATTCTGTAAGAGGCCAACAAAAATGTTCCTGTGGGAATTTAGTGTTTAGTAACAAACAACAAATTAATATGACTTTTGGCAAAGTATATTAGGCATAAAGGATTTTTTGTTTAATATTTGCTTTGAGCGTTGATTCACTCAACGCTTTGAGCTAGGAAGCTGCTTTGTTAAGGATTTGGCAACTGGTTTTAATTAGAGTGTTAATTTCAATTCAAAATTGGATAGTGATTTCATTAGACTTTATGGAACTTGATTGAGGCCTTCGGCTCATTTAAATTTATAAAAGTTTTAAGTCAATGTTAGGAATATTATGTTTCTGTCAAAATACAGTCGTAACCTGAGATAAACTAAACAAAAACCGAAATAGTTTAGGTAGTAGCAAGCTATATTTATCGATGTTTTCGTTCTTGTTAGACGATTAATGCGGAGACTTCACCTATAAGGTCTCGTCCAGACAATTCATTTTGCCTTTGCGGGTAGTTTTCTCTGACAAAGCGTATTTGAGATATTCGCTCGTAAATGCAACCGTAATCCCACAATTCTATTTTACAACGATAAGAACGATGCGAACGAGGATTATCACAACGAATTTTTTTTAAGTCACTACATTTAATTCCATTTCTATGTGAAGAGCACGTCTCCAATTCTAAAATGTTCCCTCGCGTAAATTTTATCGTTCGTAAATGAATGAACTGGCTACAAATTAGGCTAACTTCAAAATTTTAATGTAAAATTGAGCCTGCTCGCGAAATTAGCACGTCTGCCTTGCGGCGTGGCGCTTGAATTTTAACCGCAATATTTTCGCCAATACACGGAATAACCACCTTTTTCACACTCAAGGAGTACGCGATTACTCGTTCAACCTTCAACCGCCTGTCCAAAATCCCCTCACACACGATCCAACCAATGCTTATCTCACAGTGCTCATCTTTTATTGTTATCGCCTTTTATTTCCAGACCACCTTTTGATTTTGTTCGCTATAAAGTGATCCATGTGATCTTTCAATGCTTTGGTACCAAAATATAAATTCAAAACGGGTAAAGGGGCCTTCCGTTACACATATTAAATCCATTGAAAAATTGCTTAATCGACGAATGGATGAATCGGCTCTAAAAAAACCATAGATAAATCTTTAAAATAGTCGGTTTACGATAAAGCGTTAAATCTAAAAATAACAGCTTAATTAAGATAAAAAACGGAATGGAGAACAATCCAATATATTTTTAGAATCCTCAAAGAATTCTTGAAAAGTCATAACTGATTTCACGTGGTAATCGAAAGTTTAAGGGTAAGAACATGCCGAAGATGCTCTACTGCGATACCTCGCTACCTTGCACCATCGCCGCTTACAACGATACATGGATGTCAAATCAAACCTATATTTTAGAATCCTCAAAGAATTCTTGAAAAGTCATAACTGATTTCACGTGGTAATCGAAAGTTTAAGGGTAAGAACATGCCGAAGATGCTCTACTGCGATACCTCGCTACCTTGCACCATCGCCGCTTACAACGATACATGGATGTCAAATCAAACCTATATTTTAGAACGTTGGTGTTCATACCGAAAGATGCTTTACTGCGATACCTCGCGGTCTACATGGAGGTTTTGCGCGATGCCTGCGGAGAAACAAAATAGTTTGTTTTTCCTTGCGGTCTACATCGATGTAGCGATGTGGACTCGGCTCTGATTGGTTGAATTAGCTTACGCCACCTCAAGCGGTAGCGTATACACGCGTTACTTCGGTGTAGTGTTTTGGCGTGTTTACTATTTGTACTTTGCTTAAGAAATGGATGTTAAAAAGCACAATTTAATTGAATTAGTTTTTAATGTTCCTCCGTTGTGGGATAAGCGGCACAAGCAACACCATAATAGGTATACTCTGGCCAAGGAATGGAAGAAGATTGGAGCTGAACTCGAGATGACCGGTAAGTTTTACTTATGTAATTATTTATTTATTTATTTATTCTAAAAAGAAGATGTAGGTCTTAAGTTAATTCTATTATATTAAAAAAGAGTATAATGAATACAAATTATAATTATCATTATTTATTAGTAATCAGTTATTAAGCATTAAGGGAAAAATATTCAGCGAATGTATCTCGTACTGTTTTCGCGTTCCGCGTTGAAGGATTGTTTGCTCTATTACGTCGGAGCATACACTGGGAAGGAATTTGTGGGACGTCCATGCCATTGAAACTGTGATGGCCCTCCTTATCAATTATTGTGTTGTGAAGAATGCATATCGTCTTGATCACAGTATCTACTGCTGTTTCTTTGATTTCAATAACCCCCGACAACAATCGCCATTTTGAAAAAATAACGCCAAATGCACATTCGACAGTTTTGCGAGCCCGTGACAATCGCTTGTTAAAATTTTCGTGCGTTGCTGTCAGTGAGGTACCTGAATAAGGTTTCATTAGATTTTCCTTCAAAGGGTAGACTTCATCGGCGATGAACACATATGGTAGAGTAGGTATAGTCACTACTGGGGAGTTTCCTGTGCGATGGTATTCCCAATTTATTATTTTCCAACAGTTTCGATAAGGTAGATGCACTGAAGGTACCTCCATCACTCTGCTTTCCGTAACCTCCTACGTCGATAGATATGAACCTGTAGTGACCGTCAACTAATCCTTGCAAAACTATTGAAAAATACGATTTGTAGTTGAGCCGGAGTGAGCTGGGCACTTTATTCTGACATGTTTCCCAGAACCAATGCAATTGGGAAAATCCCACAGTCTTTCAAACTCCTCTGCAGCACATAAAAAGTACGACGTTGTAGGTGCTCTCATGTGAATAGGTTGTAGTGTTGTCCCAAGAATGTTGCATACTTGGTAAACGATTTTGCTAACGGTAGAAGCTCCCATTCTAAAAGAAAAAGCCAATGTTCTGAAGCTGCTTCCCGTAGCGAGATACCTGCAAATTAATCAAAACGAAGTGTTATAAACAATTTCAAATTTTTACAATGAGATAAAGTTCGTTCGATAAATCTTAAGTTAGTTTTATTATACTTACTTTTAGTTTTATTTATTATATTTTTATGTTCACATTTCCAATTTCTACGAATTTTGTTAATTTATTAAATTGTTACAGTTACGGAGGTAAAATCTCGGTGGAAAAACCTTAGACAGGAGTTCGGTAAACAATTTAAAAAGTACCAGGGAAGGTCTGGTGATGGAGCACCGGAGGAAGCTGCAAGTCAATGGCCGTTCTTCCAAAAATTACAATTTTTAAAAGATCAATTTACCCCCCGGAATTCATCGGGAAATTTAACACGGCCTGAAAATACTGAAGAAACTGAAAATACTCAAAATACTGAAAATACTGAAGAGGTCAGTGACAGTGACGATGTCGATGAGGAGCGAGATATCCGTCAGGAGAGTGTGGATAGTGTATTCAGTTCACACGGTCTGGAGTCTACTTCTGATCGACAGCCCTTTCTTCAAACGCCGACATCTTTATCCAGTGAGCCTCAGTCAGTCTCAAGAACTGGATACAGAAAACGATTAACAGCACAAGCTATAATTGGAAAAGAATTGCTGTCTCTAGAAACACAGAAACTAGAGTTGGCAAAAAAAAGAAAAATTCAAAACGTTAATGACGAAGATATTGGTTTTTTTAATTCACTATTACCAACTGTGAAAAAACTGACTGATAAAGATAAATTCATTTTTCGAATGAAGGTGCAGAAGACACTCTTCGAACTTGCATTTCCAGAAACGGAAAATCCAAAAGTGTCAAATGCAAAACCTTCTACTACCGTACAAACGTCTACTTCGCGGCATAATCAAATTACTCAGGAAGAAACAATAATTCAACAGGAATCTGATCAACAGATTATACAATATTGGAACTTTAATCCTTTTTTAAGTATTTTTTTTAAGTTTAGTATTTTTGTATTTGTTTAGTTTCAATACAGTTATTTTGTAATAAATACCTACGCATACTTTGATTGTTGTTTCATGTACTAAATTGCAAAAGGACGTTATTTGATAAAGTTCAACTTACCTTAAAGTCAGCACCAGTCTTTCCTCAGCCAGAATTGGATTGGTATGTAAGTTGTTATATTGCAAGACATCCAGTTCAGACTCAATTTTATTGAGTATATAATTAAATGTTTCAATTGACATTCTCGTGTAACTGTAAAATTTTTCTTCGTCTTTCTTCAGTTCTTGGAAAAGATGGTGATATTCCCCAAGCTCTTGCCTCTTTTCATTCACCGGGTGTGCACTGTACCTCCGGTTTGATAAGCTGCCTAAAATCCACCACTTTACCGCTGATGACATAAATTCACACTTACTGTCACTAGAGAACATTGTTTCGTGGGAACCGTTAACAAATAAATGAAAATCTCGAAAAATGGAGTGGGAGATTACATCGCTGTATCGACCGCGATGGTGAACGGGTATGAACACCCAACATCCATGTTAAACATCGAGGTATCGCAGTGAAGGTGCAAGGTAGCGAGGTATCGCAGTAGAGCATCTTCGGCATGTTCTTACCCTAAGGAATCTAGGAGTGAAGAATCGTCAGAGAATTCTTTGACGAATCATGAAAGAATCCACAAAGATTAGTCAAAGGGCGTTGTTTTTTAAGTGAGTAGAATGTAAGATCAGTACTAAATATATATTATAACCATGACGTCTTAAAAATTCGCGAAACGATAAACAACCAAAGTTTCCATTATAAAAAAAGTTAAAATGTACGTTTTCATCTTTGAGACTAATATGTTTCTATAAGCTTCTTGTTAAAAATTGTATTTTACATGCTCAGCCTAATTATGTACATATTACTCCCAATTATGGAAGTTTCATTTTGTTCAGGCAGTTGTAGAGTTTCTGATATTAATAATGCTACGATTCTACGAATAGTACTGTAAAAAGCGATGCGAAAGATATTTTTCTTTGTGTAATCTTTATCTGTGCTGAAATTAAAAATTGTTGAATGGGCTCAGAAAGCAAAGTTTATTCTGTAAGCAGCAAATTCAATCATTTGTTGAAGTGTGCGAATATGTGATAAGAATCGGTACTTTTTATATGACAAAAAATTAATATTTCAGATATGAGATGTTATTAAAAGCTCTCAATGACAAATAAAAGGAATATCTTTCATACACTCGGAAAACAAATTCCATTGTGTAGAAAAGGTTTATAAGGCTCACACAGAACGTTAATTTAGATGTAAATGTACGAGTGCATTCAAAAGGGATGTGAACTATATTCTCATAACTTCCCAAGATCTCACTAATTAGGAAAAGTACAAATTTGCCGTAATCTATTCGAAACTGCGTCACGCACCCTTCAAAGTCTCCATTTAGCTTTATTCCCCAGCTGGTAATTAAACAACTATCTATACATATAAGATATCCCCATTGAGTCTCGAAGACTGTGTAGTATGTATACCCTTTTGTTTTATAGGCGTACTTGTCGTTCTGTCTACATCTTAGTATGTAATCTCTTGCGTAAAAAATGTAACCTTTGTTTCATGCCCCTCCCTTTCAACGACGTTCTGCACATTTTCGCCGAAGGTCAAGCTTTTGAAAAATCGCGCGCGCCACCGACTTATTATTCTAGAAAAATTGCTTTGAAATCTTTACCTGCTGAGCTTTATTTAGTTCTTTTCTTTTAACTTAATGACTTCTGTTTATTTTCTGTATAGGTACCTTCTATGCAAAGCATTTTGTATGTATTTAAAATACACCTCAAACCAAATCCCTATTAAGTACACGTAAAAATTAATCTCAAATGAATAAAATAATTGCTTCTATTTAAAGACCAATATACACGCGTTTCTTATAGTCTTTTTTATTATACCGGCAATATAATTTAAAAGTAGGGGAAATTAAATAAAATTATACGACTT